CCTAGCTGAGTGATCATTATTACTTTGGAAGCTCGTAGTAAGCTTGTCACCTGAATTTGTTGTACAAGATATACACACAGAGTTAGGGTTGGCTCCATCCAAACATTTACCAGGGCTAACCATCCTTAGCAATTTGATCTCAATATAATGATAGACTGATCTCAACCTAGGTCAGCAAGTGCTGTCACCTAGCTGAGTGATCATTATTACTTTGGAAGCTCGTAGTAAGCTTGTCACCTGAATTTGTTGTACAAGATATACACACAGAGTTTTCCTTTGGCTACTTACTTTTAAAAGCTAAGGTACAGGTTGCGGGCAGAGATGATATAATTGCTGGTCATTTCACCCACCTTTGCTTCACTTGCTATAGCAGGTAGGAATATGATTTTATCACATTGCAGCACGGTAGACAGCAAAAGGTTAAAGGAATGTTTAGAGTTAGATACAGAATTCAGATTGGTGGCGCATATAATATAAATGAACTGGTTTTAAGAATTATGGATTGAGTTTTAGGAATATGAATCAATTACAGGAGAACAGAAGAAGAGCATTGAACACCTCATCAATGCCATTTCTGTGTGTACACATCCACACCAACTAATACAAGTCTTGGAGCAAACTCTACCTCCCTATGTATTTGAAATGCTTTTGCACAGTATTCCATATACTATTCAAGTAGGTATATTTTAAACTTTTTAAACATTAATGAATGCAGTGGGATCATTTTCAAAAACTCTGCTGTTAAAATGTACAATAGCATTTTATATTTATGGTTCATGTAAGGCCCTAAGATTATCTACTTTGCAGAATTTAGAATTCATTAATTCCTAGAAGCAAACATACAACTAGCAGCTAAGCTTTTCAAAAAAAAGAATTCAGCAAGAAGGTATTTCTACGCATCAGCATAAGGTCTTGGCTTTTTTTCCTGGAGAAAGATGGCAATTCTTTCAGGCCTCCAATTCTCTCTGTGGAGTGGCAAAATTTCAATGCTACTTCAGTTTTCTGTGCAAAAGATGAATTGAACTTTTCTAATGATTTTAAGAGATAGCAATATATTTAATTTCATTTAAATTAACATTCCCTTCTCACAATTACCAGGCTTGCACAACAAGCTAGTCGAAACAAAAATGGGACTGTGTGGTTAAAGTTGTGAAAACTGAACTGTTATTTTATGCTGTATGAACCAGGGCATCTCATTAAACCACAGTGTGATTTATTTGTTTAGGCATAGTATGTGAATGCAAGAACCACATTTTGTTAACCTGGTGTAGCAGATTATATCAACTAAATCATGCTGTTTCCAATGATCTACCCTTCACGTTGCTAGGCTGGTTCATAATTGCTTAACTTTTTATTGTTGAACTTCATGTGCTTCTAAACTATTCACTAGGCCATTGAAAGTATTCTCTTTAAATAAGTTAGAATGTGGTGTTCATTGGAAAGACAAGCTGCAAGCACCCAGGGAAGTAGGAAGCAAGATTTGTTGTGTAAGAACATAAATATCTTCTTAGAAAACTAAAATTTTTAGAAAATCAAAAAGTTAAATGTTTGAGTGCATTACTACCCTACAGATGATATTTCTCTCCATTTACTAGCGATTTGAGGCAGCTGTGAACCAGCAGAATGCTAGAGACGAGTGAGAATGCAGCATCACACAAGGCTTTTCTTAAGGCAGGACCTTATGACAATTGATAACCACTAATTCCAAAAAAATCCTCAGTAGCAACAGTAATTCTTATCTGTTTTACTTTGATTAAATAAAAAATAAACCTTGTTTTAGATACTTTTGTATATAATTTTGGACAACACACTTGTGTTTTAAAATGAACAATCATAGTATTAGAAACAATAAAAAATAAGCTGTGTGTTCTTTCCATATCTGTAACCTAATAACATGTAGAACCAATCCATCTTTCCAGAAAAGATGGAATCAACATTATTCCTGCACACATTAAAAGACAATCTTGGACAAAAAGCTCCATCAGCTCCATGGCTGTTGTCAATCCAAACTGGAAACCAGATAATTTGAGACAGTTGGATCATTCTTTAGGCTCTTCTATTCTGTGCAGGTGGTAGGTGTTGCTAGAACAGCATTAGACACCAAGGTATCTTCACATGCAGTGCAGTCAGTGCTGGCGCTCCTTCATGTGGAATCAGCTGTTTTCTAGCGGGGCTGGCTGAGAAGTCCTGCTTTGGCAGCCAGTGCTTCATTCTGCTGAATATGGTACTCCTGAAATCTCATAGATATCCTCTGGGTCATTTTTAAATACTTTTGTAAACAGTGTTCTGAACAAGTCATCTGTATAATAAGGAAAACAGGAGAAACCTACTTGTCACTCAGTTTTTTTTAATATGCAAAGTATTTTAAAATGCTCGTATACTTTTACACACATATACATGTGTACTACTCTTCATAAACTCTTATCCCAGGGCAGTTTATATTATATTTAAACCTTTACAGAAACTACATTAAAACATAATAAAACATTAGATATAAGCAGAGGCAAATACCAGAGCTTGCTCAACACTTCCCTTTTGAACTTGCTGATAATTGAACACTATCAGTGTTTTCAAAACAAATTATGAAAATTAAGACATTGACATCTCTTAATTTTAAGACATTAAGATATTAATGTCTAGTACTGATTTTTAAAATGTTTTTCCTCCATTTCTAGTGTCAAATGCCCAGATGTATCACTATCAAGGATTCTGAACATTTAGCTTTTATCTAACAATAAGAAGTGATTTCATATATCAAACTTTTCTTTGAAATTTACTCCAATGCCAAAATAAATGGGAGATTTAGACAGGTCAGTATGTCCATCTCCATTATGGATCACCTATCAGTTGTTAGCAACTTTGTCTATTTAACAATCACTGCTTTTGTGCTATCAGTTTCTAATCATTTAGGGAATATTGGCCAAAAATCCTGTATTTAAGTACAAATCCTATAAATCTATCTGAAAATGTCAGCATTAAGCATGTAATATCTAGAAAAAGTCCCAACATCTTCCTCTACAAGCAAATAAAACTATAAAGTAATTGCAAAATGTGAATTTGATGAAATCCTATTTAATACATTTAGTTTTGTTGCTTTGTAATGTACTTTATGAGTTAGCTTTTAATTTTTAATCTAGATATGTTTTTGCTTTAAGAAATCAAATTAAAGAGGAGTTTATCATGAGATGCAGCATTGGATTATGACTTTTTTGCATTGAGGAAAAGAAATTACAGTACTTAAAAATACTTGTTGTCTTGGGGTCTTGGTAGAGAGCTCCCTGCTGCTGGATATAGTGATGGCTGCTAGCTTGTACGGTCGTAATAAAAGGACTTAAAAATTCCTGGGGGAGTGATCTGTATCAATGGCTACTAACAAGAATTAAATTTATTGTAACAGAAGGCAAATTATGAGGCATAACATTGCACTATTAGTGCAAGATTTCTAATTTTGCTGGTTCCCATTAGATACAGCCAACGATGTTAAGTACTCCCCTGGTACTTTGGAAAGGGAAGTGGGGAATATAAGAAACTATAGAGAGCAGGAAAAAAGATCCATCTTAGAAAAATAGCATTCTACCCACACAGTAGATTTCATCTACTGATAGGTAAATAGAATATATTCACAGGCAGCATACTATCTAACCTGAGTTTGACTCACATTTTTTTAATTAACACCTGGAAGAGAGGCTGCTTAGACAAACAAGCTTTTCCTATTTACTCTTGCAGGTTGTGAGACAAACTTCTCATTCTAACCCCAATTAGATAATTATGTCCCACTTTTGTCTTAGCTGCCCAATACCTGCTAGACTCCTCACTAATATGTAACCTTGCTGATGCCTAAACTAAGCAACTCCAGGGGTGGAGGAGGATAGAGATGTTGAAGGGACATCTAGCTTGCCTGAATTATAAATTGGAATTGAATTGGAAATTGGATGCTGGATTAGGTTAAATCATCAATCTGATCCAGGAGAGATCTTTTTATGTTTGTTGCTCCAATTAATGTCTGATTATTGTTGGTATTTTGGCACTAGTTTATTTATCTTTCCCTGATCATACTGCAATTTTCTAGCTGGCATTAACCCTCTTATCAGTTACAATCCAAAACATATAAAATAAGTCACATACTTCTTCCGGCTTGACTTCTCGGCTAGTGAAATCTTTCACACAATCTAGGAAGCAGGTTTCTGTTAGTTTGTTGTATGTTCCAAGAAATTCCTTAAACTGTGAACAAATCAAATAGATATTCAGCCTTGATTGTGCCCATTCTTCACAGGAAAACAAATACAAAGGCCAGATTGAGAAGTAACATAAGGGCAAAGGCATTTGGGCAGTATCTAATATGTTCTTGTTTTGAACGGATAAATGTATTTGTTACAGATATTAACCTTAGCTTTCTAGGGAAGGTTATTCAAGGTGTCAAATCATTTGGAAATACAAACATTCAAAAGCATCCTTCAGTGATAGCAGTATTTACCTGTTTGATTTGATCTGATTCTGATATTTGTCCAGCCATGATTTAATTCTCAGGCAACTGCCACCTATGCAAAAATGCAAGATATCTAAGTCAACATTTATTCCAAAACATTTTTCAGTTCAATACTCTGCTGCCAGATTGTTAATGTTTTTAAGGAGGAAGAGCATGGAAAGAATAAAAAGGAGCACTCATCCTAATGCTGCCCTGTGAAACAGATTTCACAAAGAAAGATTTGGTGAATTCTTCAGTCTATAATTTATACATCACTTTTGAACCAGCAGTGTTCTGTTACTGTAATTAAACAGAAGCTATGTGGTGGAACCAATTACCCAGAGATGTGATGGTCTTTCGTTACTGGGTATATTCAAGCAGAAGCTAGCCAGCCATTTCTAAGAGAGATTTCAGTTTCGATTTCCTCACAGAGCATGGGTTGGACACAACAGCCCACACTGTTATCCAGTCTCTCAATTCCCCTAACATTTAACATGCCAAATTTTGGGAACTTTCTATCCTCAATATAAAAAGGGTGATTCCAGGTATCAAAATTGTGCTTGTGAAGCAGAGGATTGGATTTGGTGGCCCTTTCCACTCTATGATTCTATGAAATCTTTATATCTTCCTTTCTCCAATGTTTCCCAAGAATGACAGCCTCTGAGGAAGGTCAGGCTGAGAATGACTGGCCAGAAGTCATCAGTAAACATCCATGGCTGAGGTGGACTGAAACCTGGGTTTCCAGTATTTTAATCACACAGGTTCCATTTATACAAACTAAAGTGACTTCAAACAGATGACATAATGCCCTTATGTATTTGCTTTCACAAGAAAACACACACTGCACTCTAGAGACAACCCATTACAGCATCATAACAATATACAGAATTCTCTTTTTATTTCATGGACATTTCCTAATAATTTGAAATATTGAACCAGATATGATTTTCCCCATTCTTCCAATAGCATACCTTCCTTCTGCCTCAGAACAATATATACTGTCAGCCCATGTATTCTCAAAAGTAGTCATGTAAACTCTTGATCACTTCTTCCAGCTCTTTCAAGGGCCCAGTATAAGGTAAGGATGGCAATGCCATTGAAATGGACTGTTTCAGTTGTTTTGAATTTTAGCAAATACCAAACTTTATCTTGTCTTCTACAAGAAGTTATTAAGTAATCAGGATATTTTTCCTCTGGGAAACACTTGTGCCAATTTTCTGAGAGGCAACAGTTTCCTACACTAGTCTGGGAAACAGTATGTGCTTTATTATCCCTAACACAAAATTCCCTTAGGAAAAAAAGGATCCTATAATATATGACTCTTCCTGAGCTTGGCATGGATGATATCATGGATGGCAGCTCTGAAGGTAAGGGAAAAGCTAATGAAGCATCTCTTCTCCACTCAATGCATTCATAAACATAATAAGCCATAAATGTATAAAGCTATGCATATCAAACTAAGTGCACATTTTGCACATAATTTAGTTTGTCATGTTTAAACAATTATAAAGGGGGATTAGATAAATTCAAGGGGAGGAAGGCTGTGAAAATCACAATTATAATTACATCAAATATCGGAGCCAGTATACCTCTCAAGGAACATGAGATGGTATGTGTGGGTCTTCCTGCTGTGTGGCCGTGGTCTTGAAGTTTTGTTTCCTAACGTTTCGCCAGCACCTCTGTGCCCAGGGCACAGAGAGAACTGCTCCTGTCTGTGCTCCTGCACTCTGAAGATGCCGGTCACAGGTGCTGG